TTTTTTTTTTTTTTTTACACCCAAGAACAACAAAAAAAATTATATTATAGATTTATATTTATATACGTATGGGGGGGTTTTCTTAAAAAATAAAAATTAAAAAAACAACAACCGAAAAAAAGATGACACTGCTTAGAAAGTGAAAAAGTCCTCCCCGGACGCGGGGGGAGAGGCGGCGCCTGGGGCCTCCCGTTCTCCCCTCCTGCGGTTCCGGCTCTGAAGCCCACCGCCCTGTATTTCCGGGCGGACCCTCCCCAGCGCTTGGGGAGGGTGGCAGGAAGTGGAAGACAGAATCAGCTGGATTGGCTGGGCCTCCTTAACTCGGCCTTCCAACAGGAAGGGGGGGGGGTCTCAGCTCTTCCCCCCCACCCGTCCCACAGCGCCAGAACAGGGGCGCCAACAGTGCCAAATCTTCCACAGTTCCTCGATGGGTGAGAATCGCCCCCACCCCAAAACCAGCCCGTCTCCATGTCTGACCTGCCACCCCTAGCAGGGAAACCCAAGACACACAGCACCAACGTTGCCTTCGTTAAGGACCAGAATCTTGTTTGCATACAGGTTTGTTCTTGGTCGGCGTCCTCCTCCTCCTCCTCCTCCCTTGCTCAAATGTACAGCTTGCTTCTCCTCCTTCCCGGGGCTGCGAGCGTCATCTAACCACCAGGCACAGCACGCAAAGCTTGGAGGGGCCGATGCAGTCGTCGTGGCAAAAGGCGCCGCAGCCCTTGCACATGATCATGGCTTTCAGGCTGCAGGAGCACTGCAGGGAGAGCTCCTCCATGCCTTTGCCCGTCTCGGCAAACACCTGGGCGGAAAAAGACAGCCCGCCCCGGGAAGAAGCCGTCAGGTTGGCCTTGGGGCCGAAGGGCATGGCGTGGCTGCCTTCCAGGCTTCTGGGGAAAAAGGGGCTGCCAGCCGAAGAGGCGGAATTCAGCTGGGCGCAATTCAGCTGCAGCTTGGAGAGCTTCCGGTAAAAGGCCTGCTTGATGTTGAGCTGGGAAGGCAGGGAGGAAGGCTCCAGGGGCTGCGGGGCCCCCTTGCCCGGCTCCTTCGGCAGCTTGAAAAAAGCCAGGTCCCTCACCAAAGGGAGGCTCTGCCAAGGCTCCCTCAACTTGGCAGGGGCCTCTTTCGGCGGCTCCCTCTTTCTTTGCACCGAGGCCTGGACCTTCCTGTTCTCGTCCCGCTTGCAGGGCCCACCCTCCCTTGCAGGAGGCAAGCCGGCTCCGGGGGCAGCACCCTTGGGCGTGGGGCAGACCAGTTTGCTGTGGGACAGCATGCCCCACATGGGGAAGGGCTCGGAGCCCTGGGGCTTCTGGGCCTTGGCTGCCGCCCCACCCGAGGGGATGCCCGAGCCAAAGACCTTCCTGCCCAGAGCTGCAGGGGTCTTCCCTGCAGGAACGTTGTTTGGCTGCCCGGGCCCCAGAGAGGTCACGAGCCTGGGCTCCGGGGCCGTCTTGAGCTTCTCTTCCAGCTTCCCGACGCCAGCGGTAGAATCTGCCCAGGGAGGATCCCTTTGATCTGGATGAAGAGTGGGGGAGATATGATTCTTTCCCAGATTCAAGAGATCTGTTTTCTGGGACTGACGGACGGCTTGATCCAGGGATCCCGAATTGGGATTCTTCTCTGGAGGCAGGGAGGCTGTCTCCGGCAGGCAGGGCCTTCCGGCAGAATCCCGCAAGAGCTGGGATGGACAAGCGGCCTTCCCGGCTGGGTCAGTCAGGACTGTCCCCTCCTCGTAAGAAGCGTCCTGCACGAGGCGGTCCCTGCTCTTAGCCGCCTGGGAAGAGGGCAGAACGCTTCGTGGAGTCAGGCCCTGGTTGACCCCTTGTCCCTCAAGGGGCTTGCTCGCTCCGGCGGACAGAGTCTGGAGGACACCCGAGCGGGGCCTTTCCTGGATTTTGACATAAATGGAGAGAACCGATGTTCCTGCCGCGAGAGTAGCAGAGGGTGACTTTCTCCCGCACGATGCGTTGGCAACGTCGACGTCGGAAGGCAAATCTTCCCTGCTTTCTAAGATGACCTCTTTGCGTTCCTCCGGGTGCCTCTGGTTGGACCCGGCTTCCCTCGCTTCCGCCAGGCGACAATCCCGGTTTATTTCCAAGCTCTCATCGGTGAGCTCAGCGTCCAAATCGGAGGCGGTCTCTGTGGTCTCGCTCAGCGGACTCCGGGCTCCCTCCTCGCTGCTGGGGCTAGCGTTCGGCCCTGCTTCGGCCCGCACTCGGTCAGTCTCTACCTCCATGCCCGAGGGTGCCTCTGCTGGGGACAGGTGGCGCTTGTGGGCACTTGCCTCGAAGCAAGGAGGGAGCAGGCCTGTTGTCGCCCGTGAAGCTTCCTCTGGGTTACTCCGGGCCTCTCTTCCAGCGCCAGGGGCGGCCCTCTGAGGCTGGGAGGGTGGTAGTTCCGCCCCAGCAGGAGTGGGGTGCACTGGCACGCCCTCCCACGCAGGGGAGCCCAAAGCCTCTGAGCCGACTCTTGCGCTGCTCTCCGGAGCCAGATCAAGGGAGCCGGCTTGTGCTGCAGTGGTGCAGTCCAACATGGCGGGACGGTCACCTTCACGGCCCTCCTTCCTGCTTTCCGCGTCTCCTAGCCAGCTACTGCTACGCTGGCTTCCCACGGGAGATTCCCTTCTCTCCTTCCGATTACGGCCCTCCAGAGAAGCCTCTTCTGGAGACAGGGGAGACCTCGGATCCTCCACTAGTTGCTCAGGACTAACGGCCGGCACTCCCGCTGCTCTGCGATCAGGGGTGCCGCCTTCCGAAGGCTCCTCTCGCTGGGCAGCAGCTTTCTGGGAAGGAAGACTTGCGGCCTGTCCACCCAGCTCACGCTCTCCTTCCCGGGTGGGCTCTCTGGCCCCGGAAGGCAAGTTGGCTTCAGGCACCGGCCAGCCAGTCTTCCCGTCTAGGTGGGAAGGCGGCAGTAACTGTGCTCGCTGTAAATCTGACCAGCGCTTCCCGCGAGTTCTCTTGGATCGCCAGTGCTTGGCGCGGTGGCTCCTGGGCGGACGGACCCTGCTGTTGTTGTTGTTGCTGCTGCCGCGACCACCACCACCGCCTTCGTCGGGAGCCCTTCCACCGCCTCCTGGCCCACCCCCACCTCCAATGGTGGAGGCAGGAGTAGCAGCCGCTCGCTGGACTCGGCCTTGCAGAGGACAGGCCTGAGAGTCAGCAGAGGTTGGGCTGCCCCTTCTGTCCGGCTTGGCGGGTTCTGGATTGGGGATAATCCGAGGACATATC